AACCGTGGCCTGCTGAGGCTGGAGGCGTTTCACAATCAAGTTTTGCTTTCTCCCGCACTATATTTCCAAAACTTTGTCACAAAACTGACCAAGAAATATGTTGCATGAATGAAATTGCAGTATTATTAAAAAGGAAACTAGGCGTAAAAGTTTAAATAACATCACTGTATGCTGATTTTTTGCGTTAATTTTAGAACAAAATCGATGTAAGCCACTAAAAAGCAAAACATAACATTGCCTGTATAGGAATATGCCATAACTCATATCCCATAACAGCACCCATATCGGCGTTTTCGCAGGTGCTAACGTTTGGGCGGGGATGGATCAGGCCCCACAGTTGATCGGCTTTTGATCAAACTAGAGCTTCTTGAAAAGAGGGAGCATGTTGCACGTGACGAGAGGAAGCCGATGATACCCAATTTATAGATCATAGGTCATTCGTTGATCATAGGTCATACGTTGACCTTCCAAGTCAGTTTAAAGGGACCCTCCCACCTTCAAAAAAGTTAATGAATTGGCACGAAAGTGATGTCGCTCGGTTCAGAAAGAGCGAAAACGAATATCTACCAAATTTCATCGAAAAATATTCACCGGTTTTCAAGATATTAGACTTTTACTTTTGTTTACTTTTTGGGATCTCCGCTGTTCCTAGCGACTTTATTTGAAAGTGCGGCATTTGTTGCGCGCAAAGCAGCATATACCACCGCGTGCTACCAAACGTTTTAGTAAAAGATTTAAAAATCGTTAGATCTCCGCTGACGTCACAAATTCTAAGGGGGCATACCAATGCACTAGCCCCTTAGAATCCGAAAACTGCAAGTTTGAAATTCCATATCTCCGAATTAAAGGTAGTGTGCCACCTTTGAAAGATTTCCCATTTTATTTTTCCTAGGATAAGAAGCTTCTGTTTTTACCTAATATCGCAAAAAAAAATCAAAAATGGGCCTGGAATAGTACCTTTTTCGCCTAAAAGTTTTTCGGTTTTTAGATATGTATAACAACTGTAGTGGGCTCACCTGCAAACAGGCGTCGGGCAACAATCGTGAATGCGGCGCACTTGTGACAATAAGCAAAGGTCATTATAGTGTTACGACCATACGACGTACGGGAAGGAGTTATCAGCTGTGTAATCGTAGACAACACAATGTCGAGCCTTAAACTGTAAGCCCGTATTGGTATTGTTTCTTTTATTTGGCTGTCGAACATTATTTATGGTTTGAAATATAATTTTATGTAAAATAATTGATATGAAAGAGCCGTCTTATAAGTTATGACCCCATTTCACCACACGCAAGTGGCAGAAATGACAATGATCAGCTGACGCATTTTTCTTGGCCGAAGTCAGAGCGCGCGGCCCGACGCACCACGCGTATTTGGAAATTCCGACCTCGACGAGCATCAGAAGCCACCTAACAGGCGTGTTCGAAACCGCAGGAGATGATGATGAACGGGTTTATCGAAACTTGATTGGATGAGCATATCGGTAATAGCGATTTCAGTGTGTGCATTTATTGTTCATAGTGGTGTGAAATGTGGTTGGGGTACGACCGACAACCCGTCGGGGCGAATTTCGCACTCGGGTACTCAAAATTTGAAGAATTTAAGACGTTTCCATGAGTTTTGAAGGTATGGATAAGTTCTAAAAATCCGGTTCTCCTTATCTGGGCCATTAACTCCATACGGTCCAAGAAAGCTGGCACACTACCTTTAAAGCATTTGTCGATGTTGTGAGTGCCCAAACCGGTATTTGCAGGCCATGGCCACCAATTTGGCTATCTCAACTCAAAACTAATGTTAAGGTGGGAGGGTCCCTTTAATGACCCAGCTTTCGGTATAAGAGAGAGATAGAGAGAGAGAGAGAGAGAGAGAGAGAGAGAGAGAGAGAGAGAGAGAGAGAGAGAGAGAGAGAGAGAGAGAGGAAGAGAGAAAGAGAGAAAGAGAGAAAGAGAGAGAGAGAGAGAGAGAGGAAGAGAGAAAGAGAGAAAGAGAGAAAGAGAGGAAGAGAGAAAGAGAGAAAGAGAGAAAGAGAGAAAGAGAGAAAGAGAGAAAGAGAGAAAGAGAGAAAGGGAGAAAGAGAGAAAGAGAGAAAGAGAGAAAGAGAGAAAGAGAGGAAGAGAGGAAGAGAGGGAAGAGAGAAAGAGAGAAAGAGAGAAAGAGAGAAAGAGAGAAAGAGAGAAAGAGAGAAAGAGAGAAAGAGACAGAGATAAATTAGCCTAAAAAAACGGTCGGTATAGATATTAAGCGACAATGCAAGCTTTAAAATGAACGTTAATCCTTCTCACAGCTAGCCTGTTCAACGTGTTCCATTTCCATCGCTAGTGACCTCGCCTTTAGGCCATGTGACCGGAAACCGGCAGCTAAACAGCAGATATTCTAGGGGCGCAGAAGCCTTGAAGATTGGCTGTGCCGCAATGTCATTCCTAGTGGTTTTGAACCTGACTATAGATTGGCTCCATGCGCCCCGCAGATCGGTAAATTTGTAGTTAAGCAGCCCTGAAGGCACCGGCCAAGTTCCTCCGCTGGTTCCGGCCAAATAAGACACAAGGGACCAAACACAATTTCACTCGTTGGGACGTTTCTAATCTTAAGTCTAGAAACGAACGGTTAATGAGACCTGACACGCCGAATTCTGGCCTATAATGGGCTCTAGAAACTGGTCACAGACCAGAGGTCATATTGGTCAGGGTCATGAAATTTTCAGGGTAGGTGTAAACTTTCAATTGCAGATGGCCTGAACTTATGCTGACTCCTGACCGCATGGGCATTTATTTACTTATGGTGAGAAAAATAACTTACGGCACTGAAAGCTTCGCTGCTATCCGCCACTACTTACGCGAGTTATTCAGGAAAAACCAAGGAGAGAGGTTCATTTTATCACCCCTAATAAAAAGTAGGGTTTCCATTAAAAGTAAACGGTAACATCGATAAATAACATCTGTATATTTCTCATTTTAATATGGTGAGTTCTTTCGTAATGTTAATAAATGCTTCTTATGGTGTTGCATAGACCACTATGGTCTATGGGTGTTGATTTTCATCCGCTGGGACTGAGAGCGTGAGATGATAAGCGAGAGCGTGAGATTAATAAATGCTTATTAGTTATTAGGCAAATAATATTGTAAGTTGACCACGGCACGACATTTCCATTCTATTTTATCCCATTCGTTCTAGCCCCTCTCGCCTGCTGACCCCCCCCCCCCCACACACCACCACCACTACCACCAAACCGGCTGAGTTGGCTGAGGCGAGGCTGGCTAAGGCGAGCGCCTCCCCTCCCTTCATGCCAAACAGCGCCTGGCTGTCGTGACTTCTGGCCTCACCGCCCGAAGGCTCGCCCGCTGTCCAAGGACGCCCTGCGCGGGCCGCAGTGATAGCCTCTGCCGAGTCCCGCCTCTATCCACCGTTCACCACGCGCTGGATTCATTCATGCCTCTGTGTTTCCGCGTCTTACCCGTTGGGTGGCACCACTGTAGTCATAGGCGACTGCAGGGAAGCCGCGGCCAGAATGCCCCAAACAGCGAATTTTGAGGTTTTCTTTTAATTTCTCCGAAACTAGCCGGCATACGATCAAACCTTTTTCCATGATCATGGAAGGGAGCTATACGAATAAATCGGTCACATCTTCAAGCCTACAAAGCTGAAGACGAAAAAGATATAGCCGGAAATGCAAAACCTACGCTTAAAACCCGCGGGACCTGTACCTATCCAATGCCAAACTATACAGAGGTCAAAATGCTTGGGATTATCGATATGTGCTGTAGTGCCTCGTGGCAGTGGGGAGCTCCTTTCGAAAAGGCCCGCGTGATCTTAGGTCGCACAGCGTAGAGGCGGGCATTATCTCGTATGCGAAAAATATTTGAAGGTTACCTCTGTTTATTTTGTTTTGGGAAAGTATTGTGAGCGTGTTAGCCTTCCGGTGATAGATTTTGATCATGTATTGTTTTTGATAAGCGATGGTTTATCAGTGGTTTACTGGAGGACTAACATATTTGCCATTTGGCTGTAAGCTATAATTTCCCCTTCGATTGCCACATCACGAAGGAGAAAAGTCAATGACTTTCTCAAGGTAGGTGTGAAGCATTGAGTCTCTTCGTTATGATTTCCACGCGACTGATAACATGATATTCGAGCTACACTATGAGAGCCCTTTGTAAGTTACATACCTTACCGAGGCATGGTATCTACATATGTAGGTACATACATCTGGAAGGGAGCAATTGTTGTGGGAGTGTGAAGATTATGAATTATACTTGAAAATGCTTTATTGTTAAGTTATGTAACCTCTTTTGGTTACGATCGGAGGCCGGAAAAATCTGCAGGAAGTGGTTGGCAGGCCGGAAGAGCCATGCGATAAGCAATTGCAATTCGCATCCTGCGCGCATTTTTGGGAATTATGACTGCGGTCTGCGTCCTCAATATAGTTATTTTTAGTTTTGAAGGCTCGAGTGTGTTGCCCTGCATGCCGAGAACGTGTGTTTTGCTTCAGTGAAGTATGCCTATAGGTATAGCCGGCAAAAGTGAGCAAGTCAATTTTTGCCGGTACCAACATGCAACCACTGGCCGGACCTCAGCCGGTCCAAGGAACTGGAGGCTGCCAATTATCATTTGTCTGGGCCTAGAGGAAGCAAAAAAAAAACTCTTCTTTCCCAACTAATACCGTATTGCAGAAATTGACGACAGACGTGTTGAAATAAAATGCTATCAATCGATATTTGCAGCAAATGCGTGCCAGTGAAACCAGCTAAGTCGTATTTGCCGTTTGATAGCGCCGTGTAGCGATATCGGATGTGCGCGGCCACACTGTGCCCGGAACGTGACTCACCCGGTCCGAACCACTAGCCAACAGCGTCGTGAAGTGAAACAGCTTTGGGCGACTGATAAAGCCATGGATGGAAGCTCAATTTCAGTAAGGCACGGTGTACAATTTTACAGCTGTATCAGCATTCAGTAATGTATAGCGATAGTTACACTTGTTTCAAACATACTACCCAATTCCTTACCTTAAAAGTCACATCTTGCAGTAGAAACGATGCGTTTTTGCAGCACGGCAGGAAACTGATTTAGCAGCCTCATCGTCGCTTCCACAGATGTCTTCCGAATGCAACAAAAAATGCAATTAAATGTCGCTCTTCCACTAGAAGCCCTCTTTTCTAACCGGTTTTGTTTATACCGTCAGATCGATCGGTGCTGGACTTGCCTGGCGCTATGTCAGGGAGTCCTCAAAACTTCCAAGAAAAACTGGAAAACTTCTCCTGAGTGCTCAGTCTCAAACCAGTTACTGTCTGGCGTAACTCAGTTACAAACAAGTTGCCGCGTGGGGTGAGGCACGCTGCCACGGCTGTCCAGTGTCCACTGCGTGTTCCTGAAGCACTGTCCGGTATCTTCCAGTCAGGAGCAGCACGAACACGCTATGACACACGGTGTCAAACCACGTCACAGGTGACTCGTGGTGTCAGACAATCTCACAGTCCACTTCACCTCGTAACTACGGCAGTATGTGTCCACACCAGCACACCGACACTCCAAAGCACCTCTCTCACGGCCCGCTCCGCGGTAGTCCCAGCAGGTCACCGGGTCTCACACCTCACGCGGCGGGCGGCCAACTGACCGGCAGCCAGCCGTCCGACCGACACCACCCGGCTGCCGCCCCCGCCCCCGCCCCGCGCCGTGGGCAGTGACGCCGGCACACCGACGGTACGAGGCAGATCTGCTGAAGGGATAGTGCAAGGATTATTTGGCAGTGCTTATTGCTTGTTTTGCTTTGTGGTTCAATTGTCAATTAATCGTTCCGGTGAGCTGAAGTGTCTGACGATATTGATGCTGGTTGCTTTTCATGCCTGTAGTCAAACACGCTTATTGCGCAGAAGCAAAATGCATTTGTTGCTATTGGTGGCTTAACGTAAAGTCATAAATGACCTCACTAGGGTCATCGATTTTTTATTGCCAATAACTCCCGATCAAAATGAGCTTGCGAGTTGCGAGTCAGGAAAGCAAACAGTGGACTTAGTCAATAGTTAGTAAGACCAGGGTATATTGAATTAGGGGGTAGGACCAAGTTTAGTAGGCATGATCTCAGCAATTACCTTGTTTTATATGGCGGTTTTCATTATCACAATATTATTTTTGATATCATAAAGTTTGTATATCTCGGTTTTACGAAAAATAGTAGGGCAACAAAGATAAATTTCGCGAAAAAATAATTTTAGTTGTAAACATCCATTCTGGTATGCAAAATCCAGTATGAAGCCCAGTATGGTGACCGTCTACTGTGCTTCCAAGGATGAGTACAGGGACCCGCAGTTGCTTCTGTACACACTAGTATTTCAGCGTATTCTTTGCCTGTGGCACCGTTGGAGGCGAATTGGGAAATGATTGTGTGCTTATTAAAACCACAATCTGAAGGGCTTTAAACTGATGTGCTGCTCTCCTAATTCAGTGAACTTTTTATGGCTATATCAGCAAAACATTGTTTTCAGCGCTTTTTCCTGCCCCATTCCTTCTGAAACCTGGAACCGCTTATTCCATTTACTCCTGCCATCTGACGATGGTCGTGCTGACTACTAGTTCCGGCGCTAGTTACTGCTCCAGTTTTGCACCCGGCACAAACTCAGGCGGCACCGGTCCGTGGCTCGACCAGGGGAGGGTCGGACCGAGCCGACTGCCTGGGGCGCGGTTAGATCGGACGCCCTGCTGGGGAAGGGGACGGGAGTGAGGGGGAGGGGAGGAGGTGGTCACGTGGTCCGTCCAAGCTCGCAGACGGCCTGTCGTGCGCCCAGCCATGTTCCGTGATCCAAAATGGCACGAGAGCTGTGGAATGCCTGGAGGAGACGCTTCGAAAGCGAACTTCAGCAGCACTAATTTACCATATTCTGTGGAGATAAATGAATACCTATTATCTTAATGCAGAAAAAATTATATGCCTAAGCTGCATAAGCTGTATCTTTTTAAAAGTTGTAAATAGGATTATTTTTAGGGACTTATAGGTTTCGTATACACAGTGAATTGTGTTACATTAAGCCGTTTCGCTGTTATGGTTACTAACTGAAGAGTTATCCTTTTTTCTCACAGGGAATGACAATACAATAACGATACGAATAAAACAGTCGTTTCGCACAAAAAAGTGCCTCCGTCAGTGGCAAGAAATAAGTAATGAGGCATACATGTTTTCTTTCGATAAAATCGCTGAAGTAGTTATTTTTTTAAGATATATTTTCAGCAGTTTTTAAGCACATCATGGAAGCTTATAAACATTTGTGTATTTTATCGGCAACCCGGCTGGCCACACCGAGACGGTGCCGCATATAGTTCTCATCGATGTTGAACCTATACACTTATTTTTCTCCACTGACGAAGGCACGTTGTTGTCCGAAACGTTTGGTTTTATTCGCATTGTTTTTATATTGTCATTGTCCGTGAGAAAAACATACCCATATGGACTGGTCTCAGTTCATGTAGAAATTGTTGCATATTAATAACAGGTAAAATGAATATTAGCCCTCACCACACATATAAGTAGAGGTAAGTAGACCGCGCCCCCTGTTTTTCACCAATAAATCGCGGCAAAGCGAAGGATTGCGACGATTCTTTGGTGCCCTGGAGTTAATCAATTTTACAACTTCCCGGAAAATTAAATAGCCCTTATAATTTTTGCATCTTGTCTGAGAATTTTAAATCCCTGAACCAAATTACCTTTAACCTGTGATTATTTTTCTCAAGATCATGTCAGGCCAGAATAGCAATTGAAAGTCAGCGCACATCTGTGTGTTTCTATAGTCGTTTCGTGATTAGCAACGTGACAATATGTGAAATATACTATCTAATGTTTGTATCATTGATTGTTGTGGGTGCCAAGGTCACGTGAAACTCAAGTTAAGGTCATTTACTTGAAATGATCTCGGTTAACTTCCTTAAATTTTCACCTTTTTACTGTGGTTTCTAGGAAGTGTTGTTTGAAATTTAGCACTCATTTTAGCATTTGAAAACTAGGCATACTTAGGTATCAGTTATAGTGCCTATGCAATATGTTGCAAGGCTGTAAGTGCTGGTTAACATTCTATGGATAGCCGGCAGAACGCCTAATGGGTGATCTGGCGTGACCCGTCCTACCCCAAATGCTTTGATACATCATCTTTGATCAAAGCAAGTGCAAATTCGGAGTCAGAAGCAAGCCAAGTCCCAGCAAACTTCACTTGTAGAAACTCTAGCAGGACCCAATTTTCCGTGCTTTTGGGTTATTAACCTGATCTGTGAGGTCAACTAGTGACCTAGGATCTCAGCATTGACCAGGACATAAAAATAATTGGCTTTCTCTCGTCAGCGATGACCAGGGCCCTCAAATCATCCGATTTCTCTCGCCACAAGTAGCTCGCTCTTTTTATTTTTCAGCGAAGCTATGGCTATTCATAAATGGCTGAGGGTTTCTACGCCCCTCTGCTACATATAAGACGCTGAAAAGAAATGCCTAAGTGGGTGAGGGTTAAATATCGATTGGTTTTTAAGTGCCGAAGCCCGAAACACTTTAATTTACTTCGATAGCAGTTTTTAAGACCAACGAGCTCGAATACTACTTCTTGAACAATGTAAGCACCACATCAAATGAATCGTAAGAGAAGCGGCTGAAGATTAAGGAGCTATGAGACACTTCATAAAAAACGGCATAGATTAGAAACTGCACCTAACTTGCACTGGTTTTTAAGCCTTTTCGTTGCAGACTGGTAGATTAAATTTTAGGATTGATTTCAGCTGATGCTCAAATGGAGCTATTCATTCGTTCATTCATGCGACCATCCAATTCCATTCATAAAAGAAGCCAGTGACAAAATTGTTCATTTTAGATAAGTGTGAAATACAAACTCAATAAAAGTTTAACGATACGGCAAATTTGACAGCTTTTATAATGAACAGACAAACAACTTTAACAAATCAAAGTTGAGAGCCCCAGATAGGGGAGAGTGAGGTAAGATGAGCCAAGGGGCAAGTTTAGCCACCCCATGTTTCTCAGCTCCTATATGGCGCTAATTGACTTGAGCTTCCATGTGCCGTTCGCTTACGATGCTGCAGTCTTTCACGTGAGACGGCAACGTTCTCACGCTCAGCACCCGGTAACATGTGGTATCGCCCCTGATAACTAAGACATGTTTTGCCTGTAAAATGAGATGGTTGTTATCTGCGGTGCATGGTTATTTTCCTTAGCGGGTGTCATTAATCGAAAATGGCCACGGGTGGGGCAAGATGAGCCATTTTCACCTGGGGGAAGATGAGCCGGATAAGCCATTGTTGTCTCCGCTGTCGAAAACCAAACTGAGCTGCGCTTGTTTCTGCTGAATAAAAATGGTAGGTAGCAAATTGTTTTTCTTTGTTGATTACACAAGTTGTAAGTGATTTGCAGATTATCTGAAGGATAAAATGGTTTCTTCCGTGATAGAAAATTTACGAGCTATTGGAAGGCTTAAAATAGTCACTTTTTGATGGAGGGAAAAACTTTGCCATAAGTATCTATGCCATGGAGTAAATAAAAGAGCTCACTCTTCGCCGCGCCCGGGAAATGAAAAGGTTCGCTTTTTCTATCCATGCTCAACTTTCCCCACGACGTGTCTCAGCTTACCCCGCCCATGGGGTAAGATGAGCAACGTGCAAGATGATTTTTGATGTAGCCTTTTCAGTACAAAAATAAGCGGTATGAAACATTTCTGGCCACCATTACATGCGCAAATCACCACTCTATCCGTCCAACCCGTATAAACGCAGAAAAATGATTAGTAAGTTAGCCTGTAGCTTACGAAAAACAAAAAGCGGCTCAACTTACCTCATTCTCCCCTACGTCACACAATTGAGGGCATTTTTTAGGCCATCACAGTATTTGTCAACAATTGTTGTTTGGGGGACTGGGGAGGGTGGTTACTGGCTCATAATCTGTCCTCCCCCCCCCAAAAAAAAAGAAAGAAAACGAAACCGATCATCCGCGAAAAGAACTATTGAGCTCGAACCAAGATGACGAATCGATTTATAGGTATGCAGGATGACTAACGATGCCACTTTTTGACTTCTTGTGTCAAATAAATTCCATCATCTGGATAGCACGTCAACATTCTATTTGACATTTTGCAAAAAACGTATACTATTTGGCGCGACTAGCCTCATAAATGTTCTGAAACTAAAACCGTTTCTTCGCAATTAACTTGAACCACGTCATCCCAGCTTATGCACGACAAAAATAAAATAATGCTTCAGGAACAATGGCCTGAATTCCAATGCTTAAAGTTTACTCAAAACCGGTGTGGCTGAGGCACTCTTCGCTACATCTCGTGACGGCCACCATTGTGTTGCATTTTTCGGTAAGCTATAAGTTAATAGGTAAGGAAAGGATTGGTGAGTGGGTTGAAAACAGCCCTCACCCTCCACCTCCCCCCCTCTTTCTTCTGGAAACATAAGTAACCGAAAGATCTGGCGATGGTTTATCCACCTCCTCTGCCGCCGCGCTGCGAGGCCTCGATTCGTTCGGTATGTGGCTTCCTGAGCGGTCCTCCCCGGAGGCAAGGTGAAAGGTCATGGCCTGTATCAGAAATTTATACGTTGCTGAATATGTTTTATCGTTCTTCCAAGGCCTTGGACACCGTTTTATTATATCGGATAAGCATTGCAATTTCTTGTCAATCAATACATCTAAAGAAAACTTGATCATAATCTTATACTGCGGCAATTGTAGTTCTGCTTACGGCTGCCTCTTTATGATACGGGCCACCACCACCTCCACTGCGCTGGAGCTCTGGCGTTCTACCCCTCCCCGCTACGGACCGGCCCTCGGGCTAGGTGTGTTAGTACTGAGCGCAAACCTGTAGTAGTCACGTGACTTTCATTCACGTAGCGGGAACGGAAGCTATAGGCGATACCAAGGACGGGATCTGGGGAGGCAACCGGCGCGGAAAAATAGCACGATTGTAGTTTTGGAAGAATATCTGTTGCGGTAAGAGGAATTATACAAAACATACGTCCTAGGAGCAAACATGTGTTATTCCTCCATACCTTGCACTACATTTCCTTTCTCCAATGGCCAGCACTTAGCAAATAATAGCGCAATTCTAAATTGGTAATATATGTGTACAGTAGCAACTGCGGGTCCCTGTACCTGATATCAACAGGAGTTGTTTACTATTTTGCCTTACGTTGCTAGGTGGTTGCTAGGGAGCTAAGGATACCCTCTTGCGCGATCATTTGCACTTATTTTTCCTCATTATATCGACATGTTGCTGTTTCTGAGACCTAGCTCATGCTAAGAAAAAAGCAGTTTTCTTAAAATGTGTATTTAAGTGCCGTAGTATTAACACAGCTCTGCAATTCTATCTCTAAAATCCTGACTTCCCGGAAAATTGTTGGTGGTGATGGGGATCGAGCCCGTCGATGAAAAGTAAGTCAATATTCAAAGGCTTCAAAACGTCATTTTTTGTTATTCTGTGAAATAGCAATGCAAAGACCGATGACAGTGCCAGTGTTGAGCTTTCCAATGAAGCATTGTAATTAGTAGTAAGGTTATTATCACCTAAGATATCTTCCATCAAATACTAGAATTCTGCCATTGTCTTGCTGTAGAACAGGGTTACTTTCAGTCTCTTGGGAACACGATTTGCCGGTCTCAGATCGAAAAACACTTCAAAAAGCGGTAATAGACAATGAAATTTCCCACCTGATAGCATCTCGGGTTTTTATATATCCTGTCTAGAATTTTCATAAATCAGACGTAAAAACGGCCAATTTCGTCAGATTCTGAATTTTTGCCATTGGGTCTAATGTAAAGCATGGCTACTTTCAGTCTCTTGGGAACACGATTTCCGTACCTCAGATTGAAAAACACTTCAAAAGTCGCAGATAGTAGACGATTTAATCTACAAGATAGCATCTAGCTTTTTTCTGTATCTGGTCATGTATCTTCATAAAACCCTCTCAAATATAGTCAATTTAGCATTGAAGTCTATGGATTTAGAAGAATTTTCATATCCGACTAGATTTGGGCTACCATGTCTGTCGACCGGGGGCCGAGTAAGACCTACTGATTCAAATGCTTTGAATACTGAACATCTCAACCTCCTTCGAACAGCTTCGTGGTCGGCCGCCACTGCCTTTGCGCTTTGACCTGACCTTGACCTCAGGTCAACTGTCTTGGTTGACATCACCCAAACAAAAAGTACGTCATTCGACACATCGATTCATGACGAACACAATGGTGCCAAATCGCGGCTCTGCGATCATTTTTTGGTGAAGTTATTGACCAATAATCGAACTCCTCCCCTGTGACACTTGACCGGACCTATAGGAGGTCACGGGTCGACTTGACACATAAAATTTAGGAGCAAGTCGCTGCGTTTTATAACAGCACACACGCTCCCTTTCCGCGACTTGGTCAATCACGGGAGAAACAGTGAGCGTAGCTCTCGGTCTACCCAAGGCTCCACCCTTCATCCCTTCGCCGGCCGGGGCGTAAGCAAGCAAGGATAGGTCCGGCAATGTCCAAGTTCTAAGGCGCCCGCGCCGATCCCAACTAGTTAGTTCAGCACGTCAGCCTTCAAAGGCCTTACGACGACCTCTGAGAGCCCATACACCAGGCTTCTGAAGACTGCGCATTCAGCCATCACGACTGATCGGGCCGTCGGCCGACCGCCCCACACCGCATCTGAGGACCCACGCCCGCCTCAGATGTCATGTCATGGGCCCTCGCCGGCGGCTCTGCTCTGAGCTTCTCACAGTGCCAACTGCCAAATGATGAGCGGGGGCCGGGGGGCATGAAAAACAAGCGAACAAAAAATAATAAAACGTTTCCGAACAGTGGCGGATCCAGGATTTTCACTGGGGAGGGGCTGCAGGTCATAATTGGGCGCCACGCCCCGGATGGGCGCCATAGTCGCATCGTATTGGCGCTGAAATATTGGCGCCCAGTGGCCCTGACAAGAGGCGCCCAGGATCAGTATGTACAGTGACACCACACGATTGGAAATATCGGTGCGGACTGCGGAGCGTACTGAAACGACGTTATTCGACTGATTTTTGCATCCTAGTCCTAGTATGCGGCACTCCGATGAGTTGCGAATTGAAAATTGGCGCCACTGCGCCTTCGGCGCAGTGGCGCCAGTTTTCCTTGGGTGGGGGCTGCCAGGCCCGCAGCCCCCCCTGGATCCGCCACTGTTTCCGAACTAAAATAATCCGCTTGTAAAATGTTAAATTTCAATTTCGTTCCTGCTTATCCTTATGTGGTCGCAATCGCATTGCATAATTTGACTTTTGAGCATTGCCTTATGACGACGGGTCACGGAATAATGCAGCTGCCTTTTTGGAATAGGTACCTTTGTTGGAGGGTTATGGCCCAAAAACGCGACATCAGCTTGTCACCTTTGTCCGATGTCCAGTCCTTCGGAAACGGAAGGCTCTTTGTTTGTTTGTTTGTTTTGTTGGGTTAGGCCCTTTCGGTCCAATGAGACCTTTTCAGAGCCGGGAGGATGATAGGATATGGGGAGAGACATTGGTCTGGGCAGGCACCCTAGTGAGTCGCCGGGGCTGAGCCCGTCCATAGGACAGGCCACCCAGCCCCAAGGCACTCACTGCACCCGGCTACGGGGTGCGCTCCCTCGGGAGCAGCGGTGCCGCTCCAAGGGAGCAGCCCGCATGAGATAAAGTTGCCTGTCCAGCCCGGAGGGGGGTTGCGGCGTGGAGGAGAAGGATTTCTGAATCCTGAGGATAGAAGCACGGAACGGTGCCGGAAGGCTCTTGTTTTGTTTTTGTTTTGTTGGGTTAGGCCCTTTCGGTCCAATTAGACCATTTCAGAGCCGGGAGGATGATAGGATATAGGGGGAGACATTGGTCTGGGCAGGCACCCTAGTGAGTCGCCGGGGCTGAGCCCGTCCAGAGGACAGGCCACCCAGCCCCAAGGCACTCACTGCACCTGGCTACGGGGTGCGCTCCCTCGGGAGCAGCGGTGCCGCTCCAAGGGAGCAGCCCGCATGAGATAAAGTTGCCTGTCCAGCCCGGAGGGGGTTGCGGCGTGGAGGAGAAGGATTTCAGTATCCTGAGGATAGAAGCACGGAACGGTGTGCGGAAGGCTCTTCTGGCCGATCAGTTTTACCTCGCCTCGGTTGAAGCATGGAGTGAGGTTGAAGCCTGAAGGTAAGGGAGGAAACGTGAATAATATACTTCAAATAGGCAAAAAAATGGTAGCATATGGAGGCGCTGCATAAACGACGCAGAAAATACATTTACGTTTTGTGTCGTTCGGCTGGCTGGTTGTGGACGTGTTTGTATGCCATTTTGCCAAGTTATTTTTTTAATAAGCTTTGTAATTATTGACGGAAGAGCCTTATGCATGGTAAACAATTAATAATTAAACTCAAGAGAAGGTACGTATTGTCGTGAGCTTCACTTTTTTTGCATGTTTATTTCAGTTGTGCCAGCCCAATAATAACCCTAGGCGCCCTCTTGCTCCGCTTTGGCCAAGGCTTTGGCCCTGCTAATGTATCCGTGCAATATCTCAAGCTTCACAGTTCATTGTATTTTTGGACAATTGATGTCTTGTATTAGTCGCTACGTTCAAGCTAACAAAGTCTAGGTACATATTCACAGTTCAAATACTCACATTGACATAGAATTGGAATGCAAGCATTGGGACGCTGGTGAAAGTAGCTTGTGCCAGCACAGCAGCTCAGCACAGGGGGGTGTCACTACTTTGCTTCGACATAGGTCCAGTACTGATGTCATTGGTTTCGATCCTGGTGACGTCAGTGCTGTCTACATCCGGGAACTGTTTGCTCTTGTTTCCCATTAGAGGTGGCCATATTGTTTTGTCCTGTGACAACACATTTGCGTCATCGGGATCGAAGCTGGCTGTAAACAAATTGCTCAGTGTCACGTCACTACCTACTATATATGGCCTTGGCTCAGCACACTGCATCAAGTATGAAGTATGAAGTATGAAGTAACATCATCAAGTATGAAGTAACTGGTGTAAATCAACTCTTTCTGCCTTAAACATGTCCCAGTTCAATAACATCTTCAAAGTAGGGGAAAATTGGGTAATATCGGACGGGTAACTTCAAGCCATCGTAACAAGAAGGCTATCATTTTTATGTAATTGGGAGTCATTTAGATATATGAAGAAAGCCCAAAACTTTGTTTTTAGAAAGTCTGCTGAGGTTCCGGTGTTGCGTTGGAGCGCAGCGATTTTTTAAAGAAAAAAAAGTTACTCGGGTATTATCAGACAGCAGCAGCAAATAACCGACGGGCGTCCAAATGGATCCCCAAGAGTCTTGATATTGATATTGGTCCCCGAGTTATGCGTTGGCTTCTTGCTCTTTCGAACGCCACCTTCCGCGTGTCGCTCCATGGCCCAGGAGCCGAGTTAGAAGAGGGGGAGGGGGGTTCAAACACCTCCCCCCATAGGGTAATATCGGATGGGTGTCCGATAATAGCCAACACGTAGGCCGTTCAAAATGCGCCAAAATGGGAGCAACAAACACATTGAACACAGATAGTTGGCCCATAATCGATAACAAAAATGTTCAGGTAAGTGGAAAAGGTACAACTTGGCAGTTACAACTTCTTTATCTCTGCGAAAACAGGTAATTAATAAGTTGTATGGATGGAAGGACAAATGGCGATTATCGTAAAAAAATATGACAGCCTAGCGGCAAACTGCCTGCGAGAGGGGGTGGTGACAAAGGAAATCCAGCGTTACCTTTTTCCAAATAAAATATTTGCGTATGCATCTGGGGGAGAGTTCAGAAGATAACTGCCTGTCCGATATTACCTACTGTCTGATATTACCCAACTTTCCCCTAATCATAGGTGTGACTGTGATTTTCCACCCAAAATTATCAAAATTGAACACTGCGGGGCCTGCACTGCTCCATACACTATCCATACCACAGTTGACCACATTGCAGTAAATTTGCACTGCTTGACACACTGGCTGAGTGCCCCCGGGCCCCGCACCCCTGAGATCTTGTTGACATTGCTATGTTTTGCAGTCTGAGCTCTGTGATGTACCTTTGAAATGTGATTAAATTATAACTTAGGCATTGTTTTGAGCATATGGAATTCAACTTAAGAAAAATAATTTTTTCAACATTTTTGTGTTACCTGTCCCAACACTACAAGGTATACTCAAAGTCACATCCTCAGCCAGCTGACACTCTGTGTCCCCCAGCTCAGCTGGTAGAGTGTTGGAGTCCGGGTGATGAGAGCCCGAGTTCGAGTCGCTCCAGCACTCGATATTTGAGACTCCTGACGGGGATAGTCTGTGGCTTCCTTAATTGTGCCGGGCTCTGTCGAGGATTTACACACAGGTTTGGGATCTACAATTTCCTGTGGGAGGCTGTTCCAGAGGCTGATGGTTGATGGGTGAAAAGTCTTGGCGCTAAGCTGTGCTAAGCTAATCTAAGTAGAGTTTGTCGCACAGGCCTAGACTCCTAGGCTATACATTCTGTTTGGACTTTTAAAGGCTCAATAATGTAATTTTAATGCAGATTTTGTTTCATGGGCTGTCCCACTAAACTGGCTTCAACTGGCAGTGATTGGTTCTACCGACCGCAGACCATCCTCGTCAGTAGTCTCCGTCAGTAGTCTCCTATATCAGCCCCGTAGCGGCTCGAACCAAAAATACAGCAGTTGTACTTAGATGCATGTATATTCATCGTAATTGTATTCTTTTATCGCAGGTGCTGAACACCAGTCAAGATGGCGGCCGAGATTGAGCAGCTGGAGCACCTTTCGCTCGTCTCCAAGCTGTGCACCGAGCTGGACAACCACTTGGGCATCAACGACAAGGACCTGGCCGAGTTTATCATCGCGCTGGCCGAGAAACACACCACGTTCGGCGCGTTCAAGCGCGTCCTGGAGCAGAATGGCGCCGAGTTTCCCGACTCGTTGACGGCCAGCCTGCTGCGCATCATTCAGCTGATGAAGCCACCTGCCTCCGGGACTGAGGACGGCAAGCAGGACGGCAAGCAGCAGCCGGACCCGTCCCGCACGCGCCAGGAGGAGCGCAAGGCGATGGTGCCGGCGCTGGCCATGAAAAACGACCCAGGCATGCGCACCATTCTCTTAGATGAGGTGAGACATGGTTTAGGAATACATGGGATCAATATCCTTGGCTTGGTAGATGACGATCTTGGAAAAAATGAGGTTCTTGACTTGTTGACTTACTAAGATAACAAGTGTTTTTGCATTTTAATATTTCATTTGCTCTAGATATGGACCCACTCAATTTTGATGAAATACAATCTCTTTTCGATGTAGTGCGTAGTTAGCATTTCTATTGTAACCCTCCAATCACATGCAACATTTCCATTATAAAATGAAACAACATCTTTGAGGTCTTTATGAGCCTAGCTTCACCACCATCGCAGCTCTGTTTCGTTCAATTAGTGGTGTTGATCTGGTATTACATCGTTGTTCATCCCCTGATGCCTGGAATGTCAACTTTTGTCAATAATTGATTTTTCAGAAGCGTACTATGTTCAGCATATGTAGGATTTTCACAGGACGTGAATTGTGAGCTTGGCATGAAATGCTATGAGGTAATCTCCGTGTTAGATAAGCGATAGCATTGCATGCCATTAGAAACCTTAGGCTGCTAATCAAACATGGTTGCGAGTACGGTGTACTTACAATTGTTATTCTTTCAGATTAAGAAGAAGGAAGAGGAAACCAAGAAGGAAGAAGAGGCGGCGGCGAAGAAGAAAGAGGCTGATGCTCTAATCGACGACGCAATGGGGGCGCTGGAGATGCTGGCGCCATCGCGGCAGGCTGCAGTTGAAGCTTCCTCCGGTAGTCGGCGCCACAGTCGCAGCCGCAGCCCGGAGAAGCGCCGACGTCGCTCCCGTTCGCGGTCCCGAGACCGCTCACGGCGGGACCGGTCCCGTTCTCGCGACAGAGACCGCCACCGGGGATCGCGCCGCTCCCGCTCCAGAGATCGAAAACGAGACCGCTCGCGCTCCCGGGAGAGGCGGCGGGACCGCTCACGTTCCAGAGACCGCCGACGCGACAGGTCCCGCTCGCGAGACCGAGACCGAGACCGTCGGCGTGACCGGTCGCGCCGGGACCGGTCCGGTTCGCGTGAGCGCCGCCACAGCCGAGAGCGGCCCGAAAGAGTGGAACGTACTGACCGTCCCACAATGGACGAGGAGCCCGTGGTTGGGAAGATATACAACGGCAAGGTGTCCAACATCATGAACTTTGGCTGTTTCGTGGCGATCGAAGGCATCAAACGGCGACTGGAGGGTCTTGTTCACATCTCGCAGTTGCGTCGTGAGGGTCGCGTGGCCGACTGTAACGAGGTGGTGTCGCGCGGGCAGGCAGTGAAAGTCAAAGTCCTCTCGTTCACCGGCACCAAGACGGCGCTGTCGATGAAGGAGGTGGACCAGCAGACCGGCGAGGACCTGAACCCGACCATCGCAGTGCCCGTGGCCGACGACGGACTGCTGGCGCGCAACCCCGACCGGCCGACGGACGCCTCTCGCGGAGCGCCCTCGATCGACGACGACGCCCTGAACGCAGTGCGGCGCGTGCAGCGCATCTCGTCCCCGGAGCGCTGGGAGCTGAAGCAGATGATCGCTGCCAACGTGGTGGACAAAGCCGACTACCCTGAGTTTGACGAGGAGACGGGCGTCCTGCCGCGGGTGGACGAAGACGATGCCGAGGTGGAGATTGAACTGGTGGAAGACGAGCCGCCGTTCCTGATGGGTCACGGTCGCGCGGCGGCCGACCTCAGCCCCGTGCGCATCGTCAAGAACCCGGACGGGTCGCTGGCGCAGGCGGCGATGATGCAGGGCGCTCTCAGCAAGGAGCGCCGCGAGCAGAAGATGCTACAGCGAGAGGCCGAGCAGGCGGCCGCCGCTCCCCAGGACAGGCCCAACTGGAACGACCCCATGCCAGAGCAGGACGAGGCTGCGCGCGAGGCGATGACCCGAGGGCCGGCGGGACCCAATCTCGGACAGGATCTGCCCGAGTGGAAGAAACACATCACCTCAGGCGCTAAGGGATCTTACGGCAAGAAGACCAACATGAGCATCCTCGAGCAGCGCCAGTCGCTGCCCATCTACAAGCTGAAGCAGCAGCTGGTCAAGGCCATCGCTGACAACCAGATTCTGATTGTGATTGGCGAGACAGGCTCCGGAAAGACGACGCAGATGACACAGTATCTGGCCGAGTCTGGGTACGCGGTAAAGGGTCGAATCGGCTGCACTCAGCCCCGTCGTGTGGCGGCCATGTCGGTGGCCAAACGAGTGGCCGAAGAGTACGGTTGTATGCTTGGCCAGGAAGTGGGCTACACAATCCGTTTCGAAGACTGTACCAGCCCGGAAACGGTCATCAAGTACATGACAGAGGGTATGCTTCTGAGAGAGTGTCTCATCGATCCGGACATGTCCAGCTACGCCTGCATTATGTTGGACGAGGCTCACGAGCGGACAGTGCAGACAGATGTCCTGTTTGGCCTCCTAAAGCAGACCATCAAACGCCGGCCAGACATGAAGCTGGTGGTCACCTCAGCCACGCTCGATGCCGTCAAGTTCTCGCAGTATTTCTTCGAGGCACCCATCTTCACGATTCCCGGTCGTACGTACCCGGTGGAAATCCTGTACGCCAAGGAGCCTGAAACGGACTACCTGGATGCGTCACTCATCACCGTGATGCACATTCACCTGAACGAGCCTCCGGGCGACATCCTGCTCTTCCTCACTGGTCAGGAGGAGATCGACACGTCTTGTGAAATTCTCTACGAGCGCATGAAGTCGCTGGGCCCCGACGTGCCGGAGCTCATCATCCTGCCCGTGTACTCGTCGCTGCCGTCTGAGATGCAGACTCGCATCTTCGACCCGGCGCCGCCCGGAAGCCGCAAGGTCGTCATCGCCACCAACATCGCCGAGACGTCGCTCACGATTGACGGCATCTACTACGTGGTCGACCCCGGCTTCGTAAAGCAGAACGTGTACAACTCCAAGACGGGGATGGACTCGCTGGTGGTGACGCCGATCTCGCAGGCGCAGGCCAAGCAGCGCGCCGGACGAGCTGGTCGGACCGGACCCGGAAAGGCATACCGGCTGTACACAGAGCGCGCCTACCGCGACGAGATGCTCACCACCAACGTGCCCGAGATTCAGCGGACCAACCTGGCCGCCACCGTGCTGCAGCTGAAGGCGATGGGAATCAACGACCTGATCAGCTTCGACTTCATGGACCCGCCCCCGATGGAGACACTGGTGATCGCTCTGGAGCAGTTGCATTCACTTTCAGCGCTAGACGACGAAGGCCTGCTGACACGCTTCGGCAGGAGGATGGCCGAGTTTCCGCTGGAGCCCAACCTCTCCAAGATGCTCATCATGTCGGTGCAGTTGCAGTGCTCCGATGAGATCTTGACAATCGTGTCGATGCTCTCCGTACAGAACGTCTTCTATCGACCCAAGGACAAGCAGCAGATGGCCGATCAGAAGAAAGCCAAGTTCAACCAACAGGAGGGCGACCATCTGACCCTGCTTGCAGTCTACAACTCGTGGAAGAACAACAAGTTTAGCAACCCCTGGTGCTACGAGAACTTCGTGCAGATCCGGACCCTGAAGCGCGCGCAGGACGTGCGGAAGCAGTTGATGAGCATCATGGACAGACACAAGCTGGACGTCGTCAGCTGCGGAAAGAACGTGGCGCGTGTTCAGAAGGCTGTCTGCTCTGGGTTCTTCCGCAACGCCGCCAAGAAGGACCCGCAGGAGGGTTACCGCACGCTGGTCGACTCTCAGAACGTCTACATCCACCCGTCGTCGGCTCTCTTCAACCGGCAACCGGAGTGGGTCATCTACCACGAGGTGGTGCAAACGACCAAAGAGTACATGCGCGAGGTGACCACCATCGACCCCAAGTGGCTGGTGGAGTTCGCACCATCCTTCTTCAAGGTGTCCGACCCGACCAAGCTGTCCAAGTTCAAGAAGAACCAGCGCCTCGAGCCGCTCTACAACAAGTATGAGGAGGCTAACTCGTGGCGGATATCGCGTGTTCGTAGGAGACGGAACTAGACATCTGCTGTATGCGTGGCTGTGTCGTGTGGAAGTGTGGCCGTCCCAGGGGACTGCGTATTATGTCAACATTTGTTATTTGTCACATTGTGCTTGGCGTCCAGTCACGCAATCTCATTGTGTCATCAAGGTGTGTATCTGTCACCTTTTTGAAATGTCATCAAATATATGATAAATGTCATCGATTCTTTCATAGCGCTGCTGCTACGCATTTTTTTTTTTCTCATGATACAAATATATGTTTAGTGGGTAACGGGCAACGGCAAACAAGGACCAATGTCGACGGCGACTCATTGGAGTTTCAAGGGGTCGATGGCTGTAATGTAACTTATAAGCCTCTAATTTCCACCTTCTCCTGCCTTCTCGTCTTCTGTCAGTACTTGGAACTTGATTGTTGCATGAAAAATGTAATTCAAGTCACGGGTGGAGAATTGTGCTGGACTGGGGGTGCTCGAGCTCTCCCAATTCCACACCGGCCACGCCGGCTTGGCTTTGGAGCCGCGGCCGGGCGGCGCGGGTCAAGGTCACCGCTAGGCGGCGGCGGATTTGCTGCGCCCGAGCACCCCCAGCTGGTCACAATTCTCCACCTATGATTCAAGTAGATATCTAAAAACGTTCAATGGTATTAACTGTTGCCTGCATGCGATGAAAAAGTTGGAGTGCATGGGCGATGAACGTGGACATGGACATTCACAACGGCAGGTCTGATCCAAGGAGGGGAGGGGTGGGGATCGCTTGCCCATCCAACAGCGTCCGACGTCGACAAAATTTCGTCGTTTCTCTCGCACACAAAGAAGTCGGACGACTTCAATCAGAAAAGGCGTGTTTTGAATGGCACGCCATAGTAGTACCATGGATGAGATAACACATGGATGAGAATTGAGATCATACCTATATAGTACCTACTACCTACCTACAACATCCTGAAGCGGATTTGTTGGGAAGTGAAGTGTGCCCCGCATTGCAAAACAACGTCTTTCGGGATACGCTGATATTCATTTTGCATTTGATTCTAATCAAAGGATGTAGCTGTAAGCTGTAAGCTGTTCTTGTATCTGTACCGATTTTACGAAAGGCAAAAGGTGAGCCGAGTCCTGTGACGTCATCAAAATTATAGCTGATGGAAGAACCATGTACAATTTTTAAACAAACCTTGACGGAAATTGAATACACGCGAAATGCGTGGCGCGGCGCGCGCGCGTGTTGTCGGAGAGCGTGGACGTGAACGTTCCTCATGTGAAATGTTTTAAAACAAAGAACTTGAGGTGGAACAGGAACTTGACGTTGTTGTGCTATTTGTATAGTTTGTGACATAATTTTTGACGATGGATACTACCTATGAAAATGTGTCTGTGCGGATCGTGGATGACAGTGGAACCACCAAGCCACATATCTCTGGCACCGCTAGCCTCTGCTTGAATTACGATCCAGCAGGTCTCAGTGCAAAAGTTGTTCAAGGTGAGTTTTTTATTAGTTCAGCTCAGAATATATTTCATGCTTTAAGAATGCATTTACCGTACCTCGTTTTTAACCATTTTTGCTCATGGGTTGTGCTTCCGCAGATGGCTTAAACTATGTTGTCATGATGAGTGCAATGTAGATGCATACCTATTTATGTCAGTAACCATGTCCTCTCTTGAACCATGCTGACACAATTTGTATGCTTTCAGATGGTCAAGTGCGGCTGGAATTCCCTATCTCGCGAACAACAGATTTCTGCAAGGTCGGGAGGACCTCATACATGTTCTCCCTAAGCAGCGATGCATTTCTCATAGTATTTTCCAGTACACCAGGTATGTTTCACAAAGCTCAACAGGTCACTGGTCAGAAAAAGGTGGATGTAATATCTTGGTGCTGACTTCATATGAGGGAAAACCTAAGTTTCCTGGTGTTAGATAAATGCAGGGGTTCATCCATTTAATTTTAAGTTTAATGCTATGGAAATATGTTCCAATTAACAGGTCTGCTTCTGGAGCATATACAATATGATGAAATATCAAGCTCCTTTGTTTGGCAGGAAAATAAGATGGTTATTTCCTTTGTTTCTCCATTTTTGCTATTTTTCCTTTTGAGCACTCCTGCTTTTTAAGCACCCTAACCCCTAAATGTATGTTATATAATATATATGATGGGGTCATACAGGCTTGAAATTCACCTACTGCAAGTTCACCTGCACCCTAAATGTATGTTATATATGATGGGGTCATACAGGCTTGAAATTCACCTACTATTACGGCTACACTTAGTGTAAATGGCTTAAAGTTATCTTACAAATAGCTCTTTGCATATGCCAACAAAACTGAGGTTTTGCTCTATTGTTATTGTTCTGACATAATTTTCACCACCGTTTTTGTTATAGATTGTCAGAGGTTTCACCAGTACATGCAAAAGTTTAAAGATGGGCAAGCTGTGTCAGTGTTTTCTGAGAGGACAGAAGAAGCATCAGCCACTCAGTACTTTCAGGTAAGTCAACTATGGATAGAAACATTCCATGATCATTCATTATGGTCTAGGCTGTTAAAACAACAGTATGCAAGTAGATCACAATATCAGTGTGCTCTGTGAGAGTGCCTATCTTTGTTTCCCTTCTCAGATCACAAATTTCACTTTGGCATAAATTTTGGTAAATCTTTCTACAATTTGAAAATTCAGCTTCAGGTCAATTAAGGTCAGGTCACCAGGGTATTTCATGTCAAATGAGATTGCTTCAAGAAAAAGTCTTTGTTCGCCCCATACACAAACCTTAGGAATTAGGACCACTTTGATTTTATAGCAATTCATAAGGATTATAGGGTGTGTGCACTATGCAGTATGCATGAACCGTTAATCACGGATTTCCTGATATTGGTCATTGGTGACCTAAGAACGAATCAGCTAAGTTACCTTTCATTATAAAGCAATCCAAGAAAATGGAACAGTTTATTTGCATAAAAGTCATATATGCCAGACAATTGAAACATAATTTAACGCAGGGTTTCAGAGTCGTAGCCGGGTCCAGAGTTGTGGCAATGAGCCAGAAGTCGAAAGTCGTTCGAGCTGCCTTGATTCCGACTTGGAACGTTGATTATAGTCTCGGATATCAATTGTCCATCCGCCTGACAGACAAAAATTTTGGTTGGTATACCAATACCAACTTATTCCGGCAAATCCACACAAAGTGGCTATTCCTTGCCATCGGTCAAGCTTTAAAAAAAAAAGAGGGATAAAAAGACATTCACACTGTTCATACGCCCTCAAACTATTGCGGACATAATAATAAAAAAGACGATAATGACGACGACTGCAAGTGACTGGCGGTAAAACACGCCCGGACGTCCCGTTCAACGTCTTTCTACCTGATACTACACGAGCGGCAAAGTAAATCACCTTTTGAATCTTGTCGAGATTCTTTCGGCTGCCGCTGCCGTACACAGGGAGGCAGTAGCGGACGCAGGAGAGCACCAGGGCGGCTACAATGGTGGGGAGAATCTCGGCCGGAAGGTAATGAAGAATATCTTTTGGGGGAAAACGGCACATCTTATAAACCTGATTTTGTCGTAAATAACAACCAGCATATGCCTAACTTAGTAATTTAGGCACTGTCCTGCAAGGCTGAATATATTAGCTTCCCCAACATGCTAAGCAATCTATACGACTACCGTTCGTTTCCAAACGAAGCGTCGAAGCGATTTACAGCTGATTGGAGGCTTGCAATTGATACACTGTACAGACGTGTACCTATAGGTACACTGTATGTACATACATACTTGTAGAACTGTCCACTGTAAGTGTACATTTCGCACGCCGCACATTCTGCGCAATTCTGCACAAATTCTAACGAGAAGATCGTTGTGCAGCCTGACCGAAGGTGCGCAGTCAAAAGCAGTTTATTGCATGACGTACGACGCTCACACACGCTCGTTTACGATCTGCCGGTCATTGGCATTCGCCACGTACGCCCGGCGGCCAGAGTCGCTGATTGCCAGAAAATCCGGTGCGGGAAACCCGAACCGGATCGTCAGGGCCGTGCCCTGTTTACGTTATTCAGTCACGAGCTACGCCGTGGGTACGTTTTGTCTGGCGACGCTGGTGGTCGTTTGTTATTGAAGGTCACCTACTCGATTGCTGGCTTTAGTGTTATGGTATTGCCTGGGGGCTGCCATATTCACATTCTTATTTAGATCGATCTTGTTGCGTACTCTGATCACCCAACCATGTTCAATCAGCCGAATAAAGATTTGCGCCTGGCGAGTTATTAAATACGGAGCAGTGCGTTCCGTTTTTATGATTCACAGTTATAGTCATATTGAATTTGTTATTTGAAACTTCCCCGATAAACTGGGGGCTTTTCAAGTCCCATATATGCATGAGGACATTGACTTAGCTCAGCGGTCCGGTCTTTCGACCCTTACGCCTGTTATGACCACTGACCAACCCACACAGTGGTGGCGGATGAGTTTTATATAAACAGTTTGACATTCTGGGAAGTAGCTTGGCTCCGACTGTTGAGACGCTTGACTTGTGATGATAGGCTTGTAATCATTGGACGATATACAACTCGTAATATCTGCTAGGATAAATGACCACGCACTGTACTTTTGTGCTGGAGGTCCTAGGGCCTCATTCATTTCCACAACGGAGTACAAGTTTTGCGTTAACATTGAGATTGATATGGCCTTTTTCAATGTTCAATACATCAAGTACGGAAAAATGTAGTTCAGTTTGGGTTTTAGTATCTTTGTGAGTTAATTCTGTGGTATGTATCCCGGGACGCACATTTTCATGGTTGAAATGCTTAAATTTAATGAATAAACGGTAATGTTTTTATCCTTCTGAACCTTCCGCCACTCTTGCAAATTGATGTATTATGAACGGTTCAAAGCTCAATCAAAGAAGACCTCACATGATCACTTCATAAGGTACTCCTGATGAACCGCATCCAATGACTATCCAATGACATTGACTATCCAATGACAATGACTATCCAAAGACTACATGCACATTTGATCCTTTGTTTTGCGGAAGCAGGGTGACTTATATTGGTGGTCACCCTGCCCCAATGATCGGCTGTTGGTCCTGTAACTGACTGATACGACGGCCCTACTTGTTTGTTTACAGTTCTACAGCTACCTGTCACAGCAGCAGAACATGATGCAGGACTACATCAGGACGGGCACCTACCAGCGGGCGATCCTGTCAAACGGAGCCGATTTCCTCGGCAAGGTAACTAACCAACGACCTCCTAGGCGAGAACGTAGTTTTCTGGTTTGTCCATAACTTCATGGTGTGTCGGTCTGGCCGGACACATTTCAGTTAACAAACACTACAATGTCAGTAGGCGAACATAACTGAAGCCGCGTGCTCGCCTGCGTGCGATCGTGAGTAGTAACTTGTAAGGCTGCCCGACGGACGCGTCGTGGGGGACGGGAGGGCGGCTAGAAGCCTGACCGTAGGGCTGGAGGGGAGGGGATGGGAGACCGGATCCGGTCGCGTCGGAGACATCAGTCGTCTCCAAATGCCGACACAGGAGAAGATTGGCGCAGCTTCGGCGTCTTTCCGCGGGTTCGCCTGAAATTGGACGCCCATGTTGGAAAGGTCACGGCTGTAACCGTTCTGAATGGCCGTAGGAAATGACCCTTGTGACTTTTGAGCGGCGGGTGTTGCCCCCACGCGCCATTGATCGGCTGGCGGTGATGACGCTGGCCTGATTTATGTGGCCGGGAGACGTGGGCGTTCCCCGGGAACGGCTGCAGGGATACTTCTGTAACAGCCGAGCCTCTGTCTGGACGAGGCTGGCATTAATGATGCCTCTGTTTCTGAACTGACCCGTGTACTGTAGACCCGTGTACTCTTTGACCCGTGACCTGTTCTGACGCTGCGTCTGACCCAGGTCGTTCTCGATGTCGGCGCCGGCTCTGGCATCCTGTCGTTCTTCGCCGCCCAGGCGGGAGCGAGGAAAGTGTACGCCGTGGAGGCCAGCTCTATGGCCGAGCATGCCTCGGTGAGTACTGAGTTTATACCCCGTCTGAGTCTGTCTCACGAATGTTCTCTGCTTGTGTTTTTCCGCTTGTTTCGTAAATAGCTGCTGCTGGAATTGGCTCGACAATTAATATTGCTAGCAATAAGCATGCATCACTCTGTGCCTCTCTCGTCGAAATGGCCAATATTGTTCTATTTGAAACCAAATAACGCCAGTATCACCGTCTTTCCGGCGCCATACAGTACTCGTATCCCATTAATATACCTTTCTCCGATACCATTTAGCATACCGATATCCCATTCACACATCAGCTCTCCGTGTGGTTCGTGCCCTGACCGTGACCACTGACCACTGCCCGCCCGCCGCCCGCCGCGCTCACCGCCGGGAGTCGTGTCATGTCGACGTAGCGGGCGGAGCGGGGGGGGGGGTAGGGGAGCAGGGGGGGAGGCGACGGCCACGTGGTGCCGAGTCGGGCCGCCTGTTATGGTTGGCTGGTGCCCGGTCCGCCGCGGGCACAGTGACTCTGTTTGGTGGCGAGTCACGACCGAGTGTTGCAGTGTGGGACAGAGGGCTGGGGTGTGGAACGAGTGCAGACTCTGCCAGCAAACGATAATACGATGGAGATACAGCAACTTCAAGAGGAGATGGCCAGATTTCGGCAGGCGCTGATTGAAGAACGCACTGCCCGACAAATCATTGAGAAAGACATTTGGAAGGCTATCGGTGGACTGAAGCAGAGCTTCTCTCGGCTGGAGGAGAAGTGCGACCGTCTGATAAAAGCTACTTGCAAGTGTCAGACAAAGGAGGATACTTGCAACCTGGAGCAGGAGACGTGCGAACTTCAGCAGGAAGAGACAAAGAACCGTCAAAAACAGGAGACATGCGAACTCCATCAAAACGTGATGAGCAACCGTCAGCAAGGTAATGGTGAGGACGTGATCACTCCGACGGACGACGCTCCCAGCAAGTGTGACGTCATCAAGTCTGATGACGTCACGACCGGGGCAATGCCGGCGGGCAGCGACCTAAGGAAGTCTGACCCCATTGGGGCAAACATCTACCACATACACGGCACGTACCTTCTGAAGATGGTGCTGAGCAACATGGACTGCTGGGAGATGATCCGCGCCAAACAGGTCTGTCGGAGCTGGCGGTCCGCCGTCGACGATATCGTCGACGACTGTCGGCGGAAGCTCGCCGACCGGCGGGATCGCGGTGGTAAAGCCCCTGAGCCGGCCACCGCGCTACAGCTGATGGTGAGGGTAAAGGACCGGCCGGAAATGACCTCACTGAAGGCGCCGACCGCTGAGACGGACACCGACATCCGACTGGTCGCGGACAGTTGCCACGCCCTGAAGACAGCCGACCTGCGCGGCTTCAAGCTGAGAGTCTCTGCCCTGCGTCGGCTGGCGCGTGCCAACGCCTCCAGTCTGCGTGAGCTGACGCTGCCGGCCGGCATCAGCGACTGCCAGCTGGAGGCGCTGCTGGAGCCGCTGAAGGCTCTGAAGACACTAAATCTGAGCCTACCCGTGGACAGCACCGGCAAGTGGCTGTGGCTGCTGCCCAAGTCTCTGAAGAGACTGGACATCACTGGGTCGGGAATGACTCGGTCACCAGTGAGCTATGGTCCTGATAAACTGAGTGTCGGTGTACAGCTGGCAACCGACAAACTGCTGGACCAGCTGAGCGTTCTGTCGAACCAACAACCCGATTACCAGGCTACCCATCGATATGACCGACCGCGTGACTGACCGGGCCGCGCCGGGGCGCCTCTCGTCATCCACCCGTCGTGACTGACCGGGCTGTGCAGGGATGCCTCTTGTCGGCCACCCGATGTGGCATGCTGGCGGTGTGTTGGGTAAATGAAGAGTCCCTAAAAGGTAACTGAAGTACTAGGTAGGTGACGTTATTTGATATTTTGCTATTTTGACTGACAGCCAGAGGCTCTTGGGCTCCACTCACGACTGGGGCATAATAGTTCCATCATTAGTACACAATGCACGCCAACAAGGCCAGGATGCCGCGATACCAGCGATGACGATCGGTTTCCACCTTCTGTCCACAGAGCTCGCTCCCCCACCTCGTGATATACCGCTGAACTAAATCTGCGTCCCACCTTTTCCGTGAACAGAGACTGGTCGAGTCGAACAACCTGCAGCACGTGATCCGCGTGATCTCGGGGAAGATCGAGGAGATCGACCTCCCCGAGAAGGTGGACATGATCATCTCGGAGCCGATGGGCTACATGCTCTACAACGAGCGCATGCTGGAGACGTACCTCCACGGCAAGAAGTGGCTCAAACCCGGAGGTAAGCGACTGGGGGAACATGGAATGCCTGTGTGGATGGTGGACGTTTGTTTTGGGACTAGACTGGTAAACAATTTATGCATAAAAGGAGATACGGCTTAATTTGTTTTATGCATGTTTTTCAGTTAATTTGATGCTGCTTGCCTGAAATGACTTTCGCTACTTAGAAGTTGATTTTTTTTTTGCATCATCGCGTCTTTGATAAAGGTGTTAATAGCTGTTGTTACTTTCATTTCGGAAATTCGGGCAAAGTTATCCTCTGCACACACCGTAGTGAAACCTTGCCTATTTTATCGAGCGTTTTCAGCCGCACTCCTTACAGGCCACGTGGCCCGTATAAAAAGCGTCATACGTCAATTCGCTATCGCCACCTGCGATCAAAACACCTGGGCCATCAACACTTGGTGATGGCGTGGCGTCCAACGTGACGCAAAACACGCGATCAATGGGAACTTGTTTGATTTGCAGTTCATATGATGTGTACTATGTAGTGGGAATGGTTTGCGCCACTACCTATAATCTATATGGAGCAGGATAAAAGGTAAAAGAACTAATCCGTCAGCATGATCGAGTCTTATTTACTGGCGTCGTGTCCTTTGCCGCACTACCCCACAAGCGTCATCGCTCCTCGTTTTGTTTGTTTTTCGTCATATATCCGCTCGAATGCAGCCGGGTAGCCGGCCCAACACCTGTTAATCGATTTCGGATGCTCAGCTGGGCCCGCGCAATACATTGAGGACGCATTGCCAAGTCATTGCTCGGGAAACGAGCCGGTCGCGTGCTCCCAACACCGGCGTGCTCGGACCGGACATGTAGGGTCGATTGGCGGCATGTAAACGAGGCCCGGTAGGCGGTCTCAGGTGCTGTGACTGGTTTTGATGGTAACCTGATGATCGGTAGCAGTCTGCGGTGACCGGTGGATGGTTTTCCAATGTTAAAGCTGTAGGAGCTCGTGAACACCATCGGAAGGCGGACGAGAGTCCGCATGGAGAATCCATAGAACGTTTCGCTTTATATGGAATTCGTAGGTGAAGACCAACAAGCGCATAGTCTTTTCACACGTTGCCTCTTCTTGGGTGGAGTGTGCATTCTTATAACATTCAATGGAGGTTAAAGGTAGTGTGCCAGCTTTCCTGGACCGTATGGAGTTAATGGCCCAGATAAGGAGAACCGGATTTTTAGAACTTATCCATACCTTCAAAACTCATGGAAACGTCTTAAATTCTTCAAATTTTGAGTACCCCAGTACGAAATTCGCCCCGACGGGTTGTCGGTCGTACCCCAACCACAGTTCACACCACTATGAACAATAAATGCACACACTGAAATCGCTATTACCGATAGGCTCATCCAATCAAGTTTCGATAAACCCGTTCATCATCATCTCCTGCGGTTTCGAACACGCCTGTTCGGTGGTGCGGTAGACCGCGCCCAAAGCCAGGGCCCCGGTAACGTGAGGTAGCCGAGTCGGGGCAGCGTGCGCTGACCCAAGCCGGGGCCGCGCGTCCTCCCGGTGTCATGTGATAGCCCGGGGCTGCCCGCGGGGATGCGGTAGACCGCGCCCAAAGCCGCGGCCCCGGCTTGGGTCAGCGCACGCTGCCCCAACTCGGCTACCTCACGTTACCGGGGCCCTGGCTTTTGGCGCAGTTTACCGCAGGTGGCTTCTGCTCATACTTTGTGGTGCGGTGGTGGTGCGTCGGGCCACGCGCTCTGACTTCGGCCAAGAAAAATGCGTCAGCTGATCATTGTCATTTCTGCCACTTTCATGTGGTGAGATGGGGTCATAACTTTAGAGACGGCTGTTTTATATCAATTATTTTACATAAAATAATATTTCAAACCATAAATTAATGTTCGACAGCCAAATTAAAGAAACAATACCAATACAGGCTTACAGTTTAAATTCGACATTGTGTTGTCTACGATTAGACAGCTGATAAGTCATTCCCGTACGTCGTAACTCTATAATGACCTTTGCTTATTGTCACATGTGCGCCGCATTCGTGATTGTTGCCGACGCCTGTTTGCAGGTCAGCCCACTACGGCACTACAGTTGTTATGCATATCGAAAAACCGATAAACTTTTAGGCAAAAAAAGCACTATTTTAGGCCCATTTTTGATTTTTTTGCGATATTAGGTAAAAACAGAAGCTTCTTATCATAGGAAAAATAAAATGGGAAATCATTCGAAGGTGGCACACTACCTTTAAATGGGAATTTCGTCTAATTTACTGTATGAAATGAGTACAGAACCACATACATTAAGAATTATTTTAGGACACTCCCTGAACTTGGCTTCTATCCAGCTGACGGTAGCTGGCCTGTTATACCCGGCACAGCGCTGCCACGTCCGGTCTTTGTTTCGCGTTGAGATGGCCGGCCCTAACCGGCGTGCGGTAACCTCCCGAGGGAAATTCTGCAGCGGTCGCATTTGTATATCGCTCTCTACGAATGCCGTGATGAGACTATCCAGCGCTGTAAAGGGTTACGAATGCTGTGCTGCTCAAGGGCGGCATTATTTATTCACTTGTCGCTGCAATAAGACATTCCTTTCACGTGAACAATAACCGTTCCGTGTTTAATGCAGTGTGGCTCGACCATCGAACGGAGTTCGATTTCCGTTTGGCTGCACCGACTCGCAGCTCCTTCACCTCGGCTACGAACCGATGCTTTCTGTACCTTCCTGCAATCACTGACTGAGCACCGTTACAAAGTCTCTGCTACAAGCTATCGAGCGGGGCGCCACCAACATTCGCCGTTGTCACGACGTAGCCGCGACCTAGCGGTGCAGTAGCCTTGTCGTATTCGTGTCTCATCCATGGTGTGCATTCCTTAGGTGCCTTGTTTGGGGCTCCTTTGGCACCGCTCTGCAGACAGTGCCCCTCTCATCGGTGCTCGCGAAACTTTGATACGAGGCGGCCTTGAGTGAGATGTTGACAGGATGGAGGGATGCTCGCGCAGCTCTTAACGCTGTTTGCTGGGATGTCGTGTTTTGCTCTTCATTTTCGGTCTTTATTATTGTATTATTATTATACAGTTCCTCTACCGTAATGTGTTTGCTCTCCGACCACATTGTAGGTCAACAAATTCAGGCAAACCAAAGTTACGCCGGAAAACTAGAAGCATGATTTTTTGAACGAATTAGACAAATGGCGTTGGATGCTGGATAGCCTAAATGAGCTGAAACGCCCGCTTCTCCCCATGCCCTAAAAACCACATCATTCACACATCATCTCCAAACAAATTGAATGTTTTGCACAGATCGCTGGAATGTATTCCACCTGTATCTCACGCCGCTGCTGGCCGTTTCTCGCAGGTAAAATGTTCCCTGGCCGGGGAGATCTGCACATCGCGCCGTTCCAGGACGAAGCGCTCTTCATGGAACAGTTTGGAAAGTCGAACTTCTGGTGAGTGTTCTCTGCGACTGTTGGTAACCTTTTTCCCAGGGTACGGAGGCTGGCGACCCTTCCCTTGAGTACAGAGGATGCTAACTTTCCCCTACTACCTAGTAGGATACAATGCGATATAAAATGCGTACCGTAAAGTGGGGCTATTTGAGACAGTGGGGCTATTTGAGACAGTATTTTAAATCGCTATAAAATGAAGACCGCTTGATTTTTATGTGATATTTTTGCTCAGGAAGGTGTGGAATCGAGCAGTTAATCGCCTGAGCAAAAATTAAGCATAAATTTCAAAACGGTTTTTATTTTATAACAATTTTAAGTACTGTCTCAAATAGCCCCACTGTCTCAAATAGCCCCACCTTACGGTAATATCGTTAAGGACCGTTATTATCAAGGATCGCATTGTGCCGATACAATGCGATCCTTAGGATCACTGTTGGTGTCATGGGAAAGTGTTTCATTTGTTGCATGGTCTCGCGACGCTTGCTCGAGCGGTGCGAGCTCATTTTTGTCGAATGCAAGACATCATGATGTTTGGTAGCGTTGAGTGTCAGATATGCGCATAGTTTAGGGTTCATTTTGGCTGAGGCGTGGTACAGTTTCCATGGTGGACTGTGCCCGACGCCCGTAGTCAGCTTCCGTGCTCAACTGGTCGGTTCAATTGTGTGGGCTCGGCTCATATGAGTTGGCTTCCGGTTTTAGTGTTGTTATCACGAAAGTAGTGGACCGTCCGCTGCCAATCAGTTCACCCGACATTATTGTCGTCGTACACAAATGCGATGTGGTGAAGATAAGTGATTTTCAAATTTCTCTTACTTCACCGCTTCTCAACCATATCCTGACGTTAAAAGTGTAGTAAAACATCAGTTTGCCATACGTCTCGTGAAGAGCAGTCACCACAAGTCTTCTACCACCACTACAACTAACGCTTCCGCTGCCTCTCCACTGTCACCAGGTACCAGAACAACTTCCACGGCGTGAACCTGACGGTGCTACAGGAGAAGGCGGCCGAGGAGTACTTTCGGCAGCCGATTGTGGATACGTTCGATGTGCGCATCTGCATGGCCAAGTCGGTGCGGCACGTCCTAGACTTCGAGCGAGCCGACGAGCGGGAGCTGCATCAGCTCGGTAGGAAGGGAGGAGGAGGGAGGGAGCGAGGGAGAGTCCTCGACTTCGAGCGGGCCGACGAGCGGGAGCTGCATCAGCTCGGTAGGAAGGGAGCGAGAGGGAGGGAGGGAGAGAGGGGAGTGAGTGAGTGAGTGAGTGAGTGAGTGCGTGCGTGAGTGAGTGAGTGAGTGAGTGAGTGAGTGAGTGAGTGAGTGAGAGACCGTCAAGCGTTGATTCGATGCCAATGGCGATACACAGCGTACAATTACCACACTCGGTATCAATGGGACACCGTCGGTGCCTGTCTGGCACCCCGCCAGTCTATTACACCGCTCCATAACACGGACACCGTGGCGAGGGCGTGACATTTAGCCTGAGACCACTCTCCTTTGGACCGTCGCCGCCCGCTGACATTCAGACAAGCGATCATCTCCCGGCCCTCTGCTAACCGCCCCCCCCCCCCTTCCGTCCGCTCCTGAGGTGCTGGGCGGCGGCGGCCGGGCATCGGTCGATACCAGAAGACGGCTGGCACTGTGTGCAGGGTTGGCAGGGGGTGGCAAAAACTGGTTTTTGCCAGTGGTTTTAACCGGTTTAAACCGGCTGGCAGAAACCCTGGTGGCAAGAACTGGCAAAAACTGGCTAAAACTCAGATGGCCAAACCTACAACTTTTCTAGTTAGGAATGGATTTGAAATGTACAAATGTATTTCTGGTAGTTATATAGATGCACCAAACATTCTGAAGCTGCCTCATTACTTATCCCTGCTTAAACTGTATGCATGTCGGTAGACATCCACAACGGAATGTATTTCCATGTAAGGGGAGAGTGGGATAAGGCGGTCACGGTAAGTAGGGTGCCATGCGGTGCCGTCGTGCGCATATCAGTGGCAGATGCCCCTTCGCACTTCTGATTGTGCAGGACTCACCCAGTCACCCTTGCACTGGCTCATTTGTCACCTCCAAAAGGCGTCCTACTAGCTCCTTATGGATAGTCCATGAAAATGTTTCTGAGTTAGGTATGAAGCATTTCAATGGTCAATGTCACTTCTGTTTGAAAGCATAAAGCTCTCACCGAACTCTCCTTAAATTTTGATGTTCAAATTCATGTCTAGGCATAGCATTGTGATACTTCTTAGTTTTTGCCAGTTTTTGCCGGTTAAAACCGGTTTAAACCGGCAAATGGCATAAACTAGTTTTTGCCGGCAGAAATGCCAACCCTGACTGTGTGATAGGACCCGGCTGTGTCTGGAGTCGCCCCCTGGGGTTGTTGAGAAGGAGGGGAGGGGCTCCCCTCCTCCCTGCGGGGGATGGGAGTGGAGTAGTGTAAACAGAGACGTGGGGAGGATCTGATGATGATTATTGGTGTACGGGAGCTGCTGCTGAGAGGGATGGTCGGCTAGTGCGAATATTGTATACTGAATGGAGAACAGAACAGGCCCTTCAGCGTGGATAAATATGTTGAAATTGATCGGGGGAGGGTGCTTAATTTTGTTCGTTTTATCAATGATTTTTTACGTCCATGTTAACAAAAAGCTATTAAACCGATTAAACCTACTTTATCCATGCGTTTAAAAGGCGGATAATTATCTTACAAATTCTTGTAGATCGTTTGGATTTCTTGGTTGTCTATGACGCTTTATTTATTTAATATGTGATATTGCCTCATTTTTTTTTTTTTGCCGTTAAAGCGGGGCAGCCAGATTCCCCTGCTGCATCATGTGTTATTCTCCGCCACTCGTTGTTTTACAGCTAGCTCCCAACAGATCCCGCACTACCAACACCGACCCCCATAGCTGGCTGCCCACTCCCTCCCTCTAGTGGTATCCAACAGGAGTCCAGTATCTCCCCGGGCGGGGAGGGGTGCTGAACGGCCGGCCAGTCCGTCACCACTTGTCAGCTCGGGTGATTTGTGTGCCGCGCCGTCTCATTTGTATGAATGAATGGGCTCTGTTCTGTGAGCGTCAGAGTGGCGGTGGCTATTGTCTAGATCCCCGCTGGTAGAGTTGGTTTCGGAATGTGAGCCAAATTTAACTCCGAGCGGGGGGCAGAGTGTGAAGTGACCTCCCATGGATGTCAGCGTGTAAACAGCCGCACTGCTGGCAAGTTTATAAGTAACTGGTTGTCAAGGGATACTCCGATGGTGTACCGGATGTTTTAAAAAACAACTGAATTAGGGAAGCTTGCGTTGTTTTGAAACTCGTTGCGCTGATGTTTTTCTCTTGAAGCAGTTGTTTAGCCAACGTTGATTTGATGTGGAGTTAGTTACGGCTCTCTTCAGCTCATTTCCTTGGATCTAAGATGTAGTATTATTTAATTCAGCAGATTTCTGCACAAGTAGACAGCTACTGGTTGTTAGTTCCTTATTTCATCGGAGTTCCGAGGGAAAACCCCCGCCCGCACATGCCATTTTCCCATCCTAGAACGCACATGGGGGGGGGGGGGGCCACCCCCCCGCGCCATTTCGTTCCTGTTGGAGATAGAGCTTAGCGGTAAAGACCAAAAAGATTCTTTGGGAAGAAACGAATCCAATGATACTCAGTTTTACCTTCTCAGGTCAGTCATTGACCTTCCAGGTCAGGTCAAACTAAAAATTGTTGTTGTTTTGGGTCACCGTTGGATATCAAGTGCGCTGCTTATCATATACCGATGACGATGCCGTGTTCTGGTGCCAAGCCAGCTAGAACCTCTTTGTCACACTACCCGACCAGGTTTTTGCTGCTGAGGTCATTTCAGGTCAAGTTAGGTCAAGGTCAATGATATGTGTTTGTATGTCTGTGTGTGTCTGTGTGCATACTGATGTGTGCACCGATTGTTTATGTGTCCATATTACATGAAATTATGATCTGAGAAGCTTTTACCAAAAATGCAGTTAAAAAAATTCACAAAAAGTAAAATCAGCTTGCCTAAAACGCAATTATCTTAGATGACCTAGGTTGACCTTGACCCTGACCTTGACATCTGTACATCGTCGAACAACATGTTCCATGATAGGTGGGAGGTAAGACTGGCAAAAAAGGCCGAAATCAAGGTGTCAAAAGCTCACAAGGCCCATAGCCAACGCAAGATGTTGAGAATTGGCCATTTTGGTCATGACATGACCTGAAAAAGAAGGTTATATCTCCGAAACCAAAAATCACAGAAACTTGAAATTTTCAGTGGACATCAAGAAAGGATAGAGGAACAGCTATACGAAAAATCAGCCTTCTAGCTCTAAAAATGTTGAGTGCAGAGCAGAAAGACTACCTGGGGGGGGGGGGGAGGGGGGTGGCAACCACCCCCATGTGCGGGCGAGGGTTAATGCTTTCTCATGCTGCAGCCTCTTCTCAACCTTTTCCACCAGCTCTTAAGTAGTTTATATTCCTATGAATTTCATTTTTCTCTGATAAGAATAACAGCGTCCCTCCGGTCCTTCCGCATGTCGAGTTTCACATGCTGCAGAGGACTGACCTCTCCCTCCCCAGACTGACCTCTCCCTCCCCAGACTGACCTCTCCCTCCCCAGACTGACCTCTCCCTCCCCACTCGCAGACATTCCGGTGAGTTCCACATGCTGCAGACGGACTGACCTCCCTTCCCCACCCACAGACATCCCGGTCGCGTTCCACACGCTGCTGCTGCTGCAGGGAACTGACCTCCCTTTCCACCACAGACATCCCGGTGGAGTTGCACCGGGGAACGTCAGAGACAGCCTCTGACCTCCCTCCCCACTCGCAGACATCCCGGTGGCGTTCCACATGCTGGAGACGGGCGAGGACTGACCTCCCTCCCCAGACTGACCTCTCTCTCCCCAGATTAACTTCTCCCTCCCCCCCCCCTCCCACAGACATCCCAGTCGAGTTCCACATGCTGGAGACGGGCACGGTGCACGGCCTGGCTTTCTGGTTCGACGTGGCGTTCTGCGGCTCTCAGCAGACGGTGTGGCTGAGCACGGCGCCCACCGAGCCGCTGACACACTGGTACCAGGTGCGCTGCCTGCTTCGTGACCCTGTGGCCGTCAAGGAGGGACAGATGCTCACCGGACGCGTCTTCATGAACGCCAACCAGAGGTGAGATGGTGTCGAGTGTGTGTGTGTGTCGGGGGGGGGGGGGGGGGGCGATAATATCGTGGTGTGAGGGTAGTAGTAAAGTTGTCTTGGTGCGAGTGCTGACGCCTGACGAGAGAGTTAGTGTGGGCCCTAACCTAGCGAAATGAGCCTTGCCAATGGATAAGTTACGCTACGTCTAAAAAGTTGAATGTTGTCTCGCTAAATGGTGGAAATGCAAAAGAAACTTAGACGATATCTGTATCCTGTCCCAACATCTTACGTAAGGGTGTACACTGTACACTAAATGATAGGATATGAATGAATCAGATAGACCGCGTGCCGGATGTTCCGTGATGCCGGAAAACTCGCATACGTGTGTGTGCCCGTTCCGTAGTGACGGGGCTGTATTATTCATGTTCAGGACCCTCAGTAATTAGCAGAGTACAGTGCCGTCACAGATGGGTTATCGATCAGACGTGACCGTCGTGCGCCGGTTCCGTGACCGTGACGGTAGCCGTGGGGGGATTCATTGAATGGTGGCCGTACCGTCGTAGTACGTTTGCCCGTGGCTATGACGACGATCCATTACGAGGGTCGATTGACTAGACTGGCGCTTAATGGGCGCAAAATGACTAGTCGGCGCGCCCTAAAGCCCCAGTAAACAAACAAGACTGACTCTCCGATGCGCCATCAAGGTAATGGCAAGCGAAGATCTCTCTCTCTCTCTCTCTCTCTCTCTCTCTCTCTCTCTCTCTCTCTCTCTCTCTCTCTCTCTCTCTCTCTCTCTCTCTCTCTCTCTCTCTCTCTCTCTCTCTCTCTCTCTCTCTCTCTCTCTCTCTCTCTATCTCTCTCTCTCTCTCTCTCTCTCTCTCTCTCTCTCTCTCTCTCTCTCTCTCTCTCTCTCTCTCTCTCTCTCTCTCTCTCCCTCTCTCCCTCCCTCCCTCCCTCCCTCCTCCTTCACCCCACCGCCCACCACTAACACCTCCCCGTCTTTTTCGCCCGCAGGCAGAGCTACGACGTCACGATCACCCTCCAGATCGAGGGTACGGGCGTGTGGAGTACAGTGACGCTGGACCTGAAGAACCCCTACTTCCGGTACACGGGCGGCCAGCCGCCGCCGCCGCCCGGTCACAACACGGCCAGTCCGAGCGAGCTCTACTGGTCGACGCTGGACGCCCAGGGAGCCCGGCAAGGTGTGTAGGAGACCGCGGAGGGGTATCGGGGGCTTATGGCGTGGGGGGGGGGGGGGTTCTAGGGGTAGGGTATTTCTTGGAGAGGTTGAGCGAAAGGTTTGAGAATGAAAGTTTAAGAAAAGTTGGGGAGTAAAAGTCAAGGTGAAGGACGGTAAATACTGTCGTTGTGGACAGGGTTAGCGATTCCAGGAGAGCTGTGTCGCTGACGATGGTGGGTGAGTGATAGCTGGTCTGCTGCGCTATTCTGGTCCGAGTTGAGCGAATGGCGCCCTCCAGTTCCTGGTCACTCAGCTGTGTCTGCAGTTGCGGGGCAGTTTTAGACTGTTTCCGGTGAACTTTCTCAATCAGTTGGGATGGGTTCGCCATCCCTGAATGAAGTCGTCCTAAAACTGTTAACATTTTCAAAGAAACTCACGACATGAACAGTTGGTTACTCTGTCTGTTGATGCGTGTTCGTGTACGAATAGACTCATGCCGACCGGGCAGTGTTTTGTTCTTACGCACCGCTGTGACCGTCTCGGCTGTTCCAGTGTCGTCGTATATGTTATCGGACTATTCTGACGTGGCTGTATCCGCAGCAGTGAACATGCTGAACGGCATGACGGTCAACGGCCTGGGCGAAGTCGCCATGGACATGTCGGGATCGCAGCATCCACTCGTCGTAGGTCAGTGAAACCCCCAGCGCTTTGCCCCCCCCCCTCCCAACACATATACGCACAACACGCCCCTTCCTGTCCCGCGGGACTATGATTACGAGCGAGCGAGCGCAGCGAGCGAAGTGAGTCTTTTCAATATAACGGAAAAATCTCAGTATGAGCGGCCCGGCCCGGCCCGGCCCGGCCCAGCCCGGCCCGGCCTGTAACGCTTTTGAGAGGCTTATATCTCAGCAACCGCTGGACCGATTGGCCTGCGGTCTTTTTTGTTGGGTAGCCCCATCCCTTCTACCCCGTAATTGACAACTTTTGATACATCTCAGTGACCGTCGTGCCACGTGCCACGTGAAAAGTCAAGGGTGTTCAAGCTGTTTTGCAAAAGAAGTGATTTTGAGAGGCTCATATCTCAGCAGCCGCTTGGGCGATTGGCTTGCGGTAATTTTTGTAGGGTAGCAGCATCCCTTCTACCAAAAATAGGACACTCTCGATGCATGTGGGTCACCCCCAGTGCACGTGCAAAATACAACAATAAGAGGTGTCAAATTTGTTCCCATTTTCAGTAACTCGGTAATTACTGGGGCGATTTCGCTGAAATTTGGCATACAGGTAGGCACCCACCAGGCAATGCATTCCCATGTGTTGCGGTTAGGGTGCTACTGTACGTGCGCACGTGCAGGGGGCGTTTCCAGATCTCGAGAACGGCTGGGCCGATTGCGCTCAAATTTGGTACACGGTTGGGGACCAGTTAGTAGGGTGCCGTGCAAAAGTCATTTTGGACCCGTTTGCACGTGCGCACGTGCAGAATGCCGCTTCCAGATCTCAGGAACGGCTGGGCCGATTGCGTTCAAATTTGGCACACCGCTAGCGACTGGTTAGAAGGGTGCTTTGCGCAAGCCCGTTGGAAGTACCATCTCGCCCTTCCGCACGTGCAGGGCTCACTATCTCGCTCGCTCGTTCTTCGACCAAAAGGCGTTTTACTGGTTTTATTTCACTGTTGAGGTGCCTTCAGTGTGTGGAAGTTCTTACTTCTTAGGAGTTAGGGCTGATATGTGTGGCTGATATTTTTCATTGTAAATGTAAGGTCAGAAATGTTATGAAGAAAATACTTAATTTAGAGCTGAATCTTGTCCATTGGTTTTACTTTTTGCTTGGTCCAACTTTTATCTTGATAGTTGTAATCATGTCTTGATGTTTTATTGCGTCCTGGCGAAATATTGCCGCCGAACCGACCTAAACAAAGCACCCCTCCGACCCTCCGACTCTCGCCCGCTCCCTCAGCCGACCCCTGGCCCGCTCCCTCCGTCACCCGGCGCCCTCCCGTCCGTCTGTCCGCAGAGGGCCTGGTGAACCAGGCTGCCATCCACCCGGGCTCGATCCCGGCCGCCCAGGTGAACGCGGTCGTCTCGTCGGCGTCCGGCGGCGCGCCCAAGCGCTCCGTGGCTCCCACTATGTCGTCGGCGAGTCACCTGATCGGCGGCGCGCCCAGCCCGGCGCTCATGTCGCAAAGCCGGCCGTTCGGCGGCGTCAGCAGCTCGCTGATGATCGGCGACTACATGGCGCCGCCCGGACCGTTCCCGCCGGCCGCCAGCAGTCAGCCGTACAAGCCCTGAACGGCCGCCGCGGCTTCCGTGAAGCTGGCAGCGACCGGAGGTCTGCGAGCCTCGGGCCCCGACTGCAGGACCCTGGAGGTCTGGACAATGAACTGGGCACCGGGCCCTCGACTGGACCCCGCGCCCCTGGAACCCGCTCGATCCCAGCACTGTACAGATAATGGCTCGGATGCGAGTGTGTCCCCTCGCGCGGAGCTCCTGTCCCTTGATTGGAGGCTGCTTCACGGTCGCGGTCGTTGACGGTGATGCTTTTCGTGACCTGACCTGACACGATCCCCACCCTGGGATGTTCAGATCCCAACTGTAAGGTGACTGCGCCGGGATCTGCCGCTGTCGCCGGCCGCTGTCGCAGATCGGTCGGCGCATCCGTCCCCTCCCCCGTCGCCCGCGCGTCCCACACCCGCCCGCCGCGCCCGCGCGCGTTCATCGGATGCTTACGACATGTGTTCTGCAACGCTCATGCGATTGTCGGCGGCTACATATTCGTCTCCTGTACAATTCTCATCGTTTTCAGCGGGTAGTGCGCGTATTGTGCGTGCATACTGCGTGCCCCCCCGGGTACTCTGTGTTCACTGTACTCTGTGGTGACTTGGGTCGAATACAGGCTGTCGGTAGGTGGAAGACACTTTGGCGCAGACTACCAATTCAGAGCGGCCCGTGCTAGCGAGATGTGGCGATAAAATGTCCTTCCGGTCCCAATGACACGGGATACGGGAGGAGTCACACGAGTACTTGATAGGGACTGTCATGTGCAAGGATAATTCTCAAAGAGGCACATGCGGATAGTGTTGTGATCGTAGGCGTTCTCGGCTGACTGCTGCTAACTTCAGTGTGATCGGTCCACCCAGTATCCAGACAGCACAGTGTGAACATGGCGCCCCCCTCCCTGACCGCCGCGAAGTGGTTATATAGTGGCGGAAGCCTTTGGCGATTAGTAGGGTCCACCGCTGGAATACTGGGCTTCTTGGCCTTGTCTCACGGCACGCCGCTACCCGTTGCTACCAGATATTGGTCTTCGATTTCCATGGATATATAAGCAGAATTTGGTAAGGTACTTATGTTTTCATGGAAACCGAGCGTCAATGCCTGGTAGCGGCACGTAGGAGTTAGCACCTACGCAGATCAGAAACGGCTTCAGGGCACAGCATGGTGTGATCTGTAAAAGACAAGACGTCATCAGAGGAAATCCTCCATTCATCTGCGCAAACCGTCAGCTGAGAGTTTCTAACATGCTGCATAGGAACCAAAACTAAACGTTCAAATTGGTGCTAAATTCGATTACGAGTAAGTGCTTACTACTTAGGTAGTAAAGGCAATTTTACGAGAGATTGTGTTAGCAAGAATTGATAACGCAATTCCGCACAAGTCATCTGAGACGCAGGCGGCGGAACGAGGGGGCACCGGGGCACCGCGCCCCCTTTGATTTTGGCATTTCAACATAGCTCCATTGGCGTTGCATGGAAAGAATGCGACCAAAAGTCGGCAGTGCCCCCCCCCCCCCCCTTAATTGAAGGTGTTCCGCCGCCACTGATCTGAGAGACCTTCAACCCCCCCCCCCCCCCCGGCTTGGATGGTATCCACGGTCACTAACGGCCTAAGTAGCACCATCCGTATTGGCTACCCTGCATCTACCTTCCGTTTACACGCAAAATACAAAACGACCAACTAATTGAGATTGACCTTGGATTGACCGCGCGGTCTATCTATATCTCGACTACCCAACTACCGATATGCAGAGCGGTAGATATTGGATACCTATTTTGAGTGTTTGTCTCCCTCTGGCCTCTAATGATCGATGCCTGGCTGTCGGATTGAAGTCAACGATTCACGATTGTCAATGATTTCGGTCGATCGTTCCGACATAGCCTTGGTTCCGAGTCTCCGAAGCGCCGGTTTCGACTTTCAATATCCTAGCGCAGAGGTCCGCGGAACATTACCGCACGCGCTAAACCCGTTTCCATGGTAACGTCAGTAGATTCCTGCTCGGGCTGACCGTTGCTATGCGTCCTTAACCCAAGAATCGATCGCGACTCATGCCGGACACTTTAACATTAGTGACGTCACTGGTTGTAGAGCACAGCTTTAAAAAACTATTTTCGCATGCTTGACACAGGAATCACTGCCTATCTCACAACAATAATAGCAAAAGTTCTATGCAAATAACGCTAAAAATAATTATATCACGATGTAAATTGCATTTTAAGATGTTCTGCCATATGCCAGTGACGTCAGATGACGAAAATATCAATGCAGACGTGTGTATGGTTTTTAGCGTCAATAACCGCTTGACGCGCATTTGATTCACTTTCCGTTCGGGGACGCTGTGTGGTGTGGTGGGTGTGTGGTGTCGGTCAGTTTTAGCCTTTTATAACTTGTAAGTTATTGGCGATTGCTACTTCGAATTACTGCATTTCACGTACGTTATGGCTGTAGTTTCACAAATATTTCACCTTCGACTGGCTTGGAAGCCGAACGAGCAACAGCTGCAGAATTTGAATTCGAAAACAGGGATTCGTCGTTTCAGTTTGCGAAGGTAAGCTGCTGGCTACATGAAGCTCATCGATATTGCCTATCGGTATGACTATTGCTATGGGCTGGCGAAGAAGCTCATCGGTATTTGATGGATCAGGTTTGGATGAGGGGCCGTGAGGTAATACTTGGGTAGCTTGGCGACGTATTGAGCTCAGGCCTGCCATCTAGCGGGGAAATTATCGTAAGCTAGCGGAAAGCCGAGCGAACGCCGTCGCTTGGCGTTTGATTGGGACGGTCGGACAAACTGAGCGTGGTGGTGATGTAGCAGGTTTGTTGCGATTTTTTCGAAGTTGTAGGTTTAAAATGTCAATGTGACAGAAGAAATGATTTAACTAATGCTCAAGGTAAATAGTCAGGTACGCGGTTACTTTACATTGCTCATTACTTCGTGAAACGGGGAGCTATTGCAGAATTGGCCGGCACGTGGCATTCTCGCATTTTTTTTTTACATCTGTCCTTTGCCTCAATCCAACCTAAATCAAACAAATTATCCAATAAAGAAACAAAGCGAACGTACGTTATACTTAGCCTTGCGGTACCCCCGCGCACTGAGGAGGGTCTGCGGCCTGCGCAAACTTCGCACCGACGGGGGGGGGGGGGACCGCGGATACCTGCCCCCCCGTGATATCTCGAGAACGAAGCAAGCTAGGGACAAGCGGTAAACGCCATGGGAATTGGGATATAGTCTATAGACGGGCAAAGTTTACGAGAGGAGTCTATGGATTTTCAGTGACTCCGACTCCTAACTCTGGGTAGAACCGTCTACTCAGATCGACTCCAACTCTACTCCGACTCCACAACCCGGGAAGGTCTGCAGAGTCAAATGCCAGTTAACGGTAACGTAGCATCATTTCTCTTGCGCGCCCGTAGGCTTATGCCGGGGCCGCACTGTACGGGCCGGTGTTCGGTGACCTTGACCTGACCGCGCCGGAGGGGCCGTAGCGCGGCCGGTGGACGGGCGAGCGCGAGGGGAGCGAGCCTCAGTGCGGGCTGGCGGCTCCGGGCGGCGCGGCGGCTTCGTCGAAGCGGGTTTCCGCCACCCACCCCATCCGACCAGCTTTGCCCCCTTTTCTATTCGTTTATCCCTTTTCCAGTTCCACCATCTATCTCCCTCGTCGCTCGTTTCTTTCTCTCCTTGTATCGCCAGTAAGGTAAATGGGATACACTGGAGGGCGAGAGAGACGGGCGGCCGATAAACAGCCAACACTTATGAACGGAGCACACGATGCCGACAGGGTTACGGGTGTTAACTGATTACTGAAGATAACGCCAGTTATTGACTATTCGGTGATTCTGACTCCGAATCCAACTACGGCTTCTAAAAATCGGTTTAGACTCAAGGCCTGGCAAAGCCGTCGAATCCGACCGACTCCAACTCCGACTCCGCACCTCTGGACCAACATAGCGCGTCTAAAACAGCCTTTGATATCGACGCATTTTCTTCAAATCCATCTGTTTTCTCTGAAATTTCAGGGAAGCACGGAAAGTCCCTTTAAAAAAATGTTCAATCATCCGATCCTGAACAAGTATGTGTATTATTTCAAGTATGTGATCAAGTAAGTCAAGTATTCGTAAGCTTGTTCTGGCACAGTGTCAGAAAAGTGGTTTGGGGATCTAAGTTCGCAGACTAAAATTTTGAAAAGGTCGCAGAACAAAGTTGGAACTTAGCTATGGTTCCAAATTTTTCATGAAGCTACTGCATTATATCAGTTTCTTTTTAGCATAATGGGTAGAGATTGTTGAAATGCAGCACATATCAAAGTGAAACACCTGCACATGACCAACATGCAATGGTAATCATTAAGCAGGCACCTCACGAGATGCCAGATCTGTCTACGATAGCAATGTAGGTTGTAGGTTGTGGTTGCGACACCTGAGCGAACGTCATTTCAGCGAACGACATTTGAGCGAAACATTTTCAGCGATTATCAATTTAAGCGATTGGCTTTTTCAGCGATTGTCAAGTCGGCGAATTCAATCACAGCGATTATCAACTTTAGCGAGGACCAGAATCAGCGAAACCAGATTGAGCGAACATATGGTGGTCAGTGGGAGACCAGTTCAGCGATGCAGTTACAGCGAATGACCGAACGCGACGAAAGTCAATCATTTGCTACTTTTCGGAAATTATTGCACCTCTTTACGTATCATTTGAATTTTGAAGAAACATATGTACATCGGATGACAAACAAGGGGTGCATGGGAGGGGAAGGAGGCGGGCAAAATTTGAATTGAAAATGTGGAACGTGAGAGATAGGGCGACAGAAGGAATGCCAAGGACCAATAACAAACTAGAGAGATGGCACAGGGGAATCCAGTCTATGTTTCAGGGACCTCACCCAAATATCTGGAAATTCGTACGGTGCTTGGGGCAAGAACAAATTTTACAACATGGGGAACTGATCCAACTTCAAGCGGGGCAGTTTCGCGAAAAAAGCACAAGCAATATTGATCTCTGAACAAACGTTTGGTCACCATTATTGACAAAGAGCAGGGTGGGTTAGGGGGGGGGGGGGTGAAATTGAACCGTTGGAATTTTTGACAAATGTAGCATTAAAATTGGAGCTCAATGCCTGACCTTTGAACGCGCGACATCCGCCATCCAGTACCGGATAACCATGAGAAATTCCGGAAACATTCGTACGCATACGCTCGCAAAAGAAAAAAATCCACCGTTACAGGACGATGAAATGTTTCGCTGAACTGACAGTCGCTCAAATTGTAGTCGACGAAATATATGTCGCTGAAACATAGCTTTCGCTAAAATTGATAATCGCTTTATTTGATAATCGATGAACTTGATAATCGCTGAATTGCCATTCGCTGAAAATGGTTCGCTCAAATGACGTTCGCTCAAATGACACTCGCTAAAGTTGCTCGCACCGGTAGGTTGTAGGTGTTAGGCTTGTAGGTTGTAGGCTAGTAGGTAAGGTTAGGTCAGGTTAGATTATGTTTCAGATCTGGCATCTCGTGAGACGCCTGCTTAATGAATCCCCATGCAATCTTGTATCTACTAAATAGGCAGGTACCTAGCCTTAAGCCTACATTGCCATTGCTCAAGTATAATGATGCATACCTATATAAAT